CCATTTGCCAAAATCAGTCTCATGGGTCATGAAACGTCGAGAAAACAAGTAGCCAGTCGCTCGATCAATTTATTATTATTTCCTTGGTTGATGCTCGGAAAGTTAAAAAAGGGACTAAGGTTATTTCGATAGAACTTTCCTTACCCCTGAAGTACAATAGCACAAATATAATTTCCACAACTTATAGCTGTGTTGCGAATTTAATTTTTTTAATGATATCCTCTATAAGTTAAAATAGAAATGTGTGTGGACTGTTTTTATGACGTCATTGACATTTTAGCAAAGACAGGTATATTAATTTGAATCGGTGACGTGTAATACTAAGAATAATACCATACACTCAAATTTTCGGGTAACTGGGGTGAACCGCTTTTGATTTGAAACAAAATTGCCCAATTCATTAATTTTTTGAGTCACTCGTATAAAAAAATATTAATGCATTCATAAACCACAAGTATAGACGCACAACATTTTGCATATTTTAGACAGCATTTATTTTATAATTATTTTGAAAAGGGATAAACATATATTTTGATTAAAGATTTTATCATGCTTACGATAACCTTAAAATAAAGTTAAGCTGTAAAAAATTATACAACTGTGATTTTTTTCCGGAATATCTGAATGTGTATGGTAAAAAATCAAGATAGGTTCATGAATCACATGTGCCGGAGTGTTTTTTTATAAAATTTAAGTAACATTTGCTATGAATAAAATTTGAGGTGACGTCATCACGTTGTTGGTGGGGATCATTAGACACATTTTGGTTAGTGTTTTACCAGCTACGCGATATATATTCCTGACATATACCGGGTGTTTCTTTTATTTAATACAATCCCTGTAACTTTTTTGTCCTTAAAGATAAACGTGTGGTTCTTTGAGCAAATTTGTATCATTTTAAAAGATCTGTGATGATAACCTCGCATTTTATTATCACTTCCGGTAAAACCGCAAATGACGTCAACTTTATTTTTTTTTATGGAACACTTGATATATTTATATATATATATTTTTTTTTCATAGACGGCAAGACTGATTTTTTGTAAAAAATATAAAGCAACCAATATTCTAAAATCAATACTTGAAAAGTTTTTCAATGAAATAAACGAAAAATTCGTATCTATTGATGACAATCTAGTAGCTTGAAAAATTGACTCTCATGTCATTTATTCACATAAGTGATCTTTTAAAATGATGCAAATTTGCTCAAAAAACTATATGTTTATCTTTAAAAATAAAAAAATTATAGGGGTTGTATCAAATAAAAGAAACACGTGGTATATATAATATTTTACAATGGTACAATTATACGGCTTTTTTCCGCTGGGAGTGGTTTCATCTATATATATATTTTTTTAACTTAAGGGTTTATTATAAATTTTATACAGTCCATCAGGAAAAATAATCTAAAATCTCCTTTTTTGCAATTTTTCAAAATACCAGTTTTAATAATTTGTTTTTTTTTTGCTGAAAAATTGCAAATCGAAAAGTAGAAGCAACGCAAAATCGAAAACCTAAAAAATTGGAAAAAACTGAAAAATCAAAAAACTGAAAAAAGAAAAATAACAAAACAGGAAAATCGCAAATCCAGGAACTATGGAAAACAAAGTGGGTGGGTGGGGCTAATACTTGCCAATGTAAGACTGATTTTGGAAAATAATGTACACTCTAAGGAGATAGAGGGCGAGTGGGCGGAGCTAGTACTTGCCAGGATAAGACTGATTTTGGGAAATGACATACCTCATAAGAAAATAAGAAGGTGGGCGGGCGGGGCTAGTACTTGCTAAGATAAGACTAATTTTGGCAAATAACATACCTTCTAAGAAAATGGAGGGCGGGTGGGCGGAGCTATCACTTGCTAAGATAAAATTGATTTTGGCAAATGGTATACCCTCTAAGAATATATAATAAAACAATAATATAATAATTTTTCGTTTTTTCGTGTTTTTAATGTTTCAATTTTACCGTTTCATAATTTTTTGTTTTTTTGCAACTTTCGATTTTATAATTTTGCATCTACATATTCAATTTTTGACATTTCAATTGTCGCTATCACAATTCTTAAATTCTTCAATTTTGCAGTTTTTGGGTTTCCCAATCATTCGATTTTCCGATTCTTTTAATTTTCAATATTTCGTTTTTTCGATTTCGTTTCCAATTTTCAGATTTTTCAAAGTTTTCGTCTTAAAATTTTTTCATTTTTCTGTTGATTTTTTAATTTTACAATTTTCTGGTTTTTCATTTTTTGATTCGAAAATTTAAAAAATCCAAAAAAGATTTTCAGTTTGTTGATTTTTCAATTTTTTATTTCTCCATTCTTAGAGTTTTTAACTATGTATAATTATAGTTTTTCATTCTTGCAGTTTTTCAATTTTAAAATTTTTCGGTTTTTTCTCTAGATTAAAGATTTTATCATGCTTACGATAACCTTAAAATAAAGTTAAGCTGTAAAAAATTATACAACTGTGATTTTTTCCCGAAAAATCTGAATGTGTATGGTAAAAAATCAAGATAGGTTCATGAATCACATGTGCAGGAGTATTTTTTATAAAATTTAAGTAACATTCGCTATGAATAAAATTTGAGGTGACGTCATCACGTTGTTGGTGGGGATCATTAGACACATTTTGGTTAGTGTTTTACCAGCTACGCGATATGTATTCCTGACATATACCGGGTGTTTCTTTTATTTAATACAACCCCTGTAACTTTTTTGTTCTTAAAGATAAACGTGTGGTTCTTTGAGCAAATTTGTATATTTTATGTGATGATAACCTCACATTTTATTATCACTTCCGGTAGAACCGGAAATGACATCAACTTTATTTTTTTTTTATAGAACACTTGGTATATTTCTTCATAGATGGAAAGACTGATTTTTTGTAAAAAATATAAAGCAACCAATATTCTAAAATCAATACTTGAAAAGTTATTCAATAAAATAAACGAAAAATTCGTATCTATTGATGACAATCTAGTAGCTTGAAAAATTGACTCTCGTGTCATTTATTCACATAAGTGATCTTTCAAAATGATACAAATTTGCTCAAAAAACTATGTTTATCTTTAAAAATAAGAAAAATATAGGGGTTGCATCAAATAAAAGAAACACGTGGTATATATAATATTTTACAACAATTGCTCCGTGGTACACAGTAGCGCGTCATGTTTGCAATGGTACAATTACCTTATACGGCTTTTTTCCGCTGGGAGTGGTTTGATCTATATATATTTTTTAACATACAGGGTTCATCAAACAAAAATAAAATTTCCCAAAAGCGCATTTTACAATTTTTTGAAGAAGCCGGATTTGTTGGACTATACTAAAGAAACATCTAGATGCGTTTACTTTGATTGAGATTTTGTTAATAAAATTTAGTGATGACGTCATCATTTTTTTTGTACGAACCAATAACACCAACGCACTGTCAGTCAGTAGCGTAACATGCACATTTCAAAAGAGGATGTTTTTTGTAAATTTATTTTGTCATTTTTTTTAAATCGCAAGTAATAACAGAGTGAAACAAACTAAAGTGAAGTGGTCAACACGCTAGCACGAATGCGAGTGAATCTATTAAGCACTAATCTAAACAGGTTCAGTATGATAAAGAAACGATGACGGACGCCTCTGAACGTGCGGCCATCTCTTAAATTTGAAAGTGGACTTGGCCCGACCGATTTTGTCCTTCTATGCTATTTTACAGGTGTGTTGATCTTAGAGTCTAAGCCGTTTTTGATTTAATTAACGAACTAAATTGCTTCATTCATTAATGTTTTCGATAAAAATAATGAATGTATGAAGAAACTACATACATATACACAAGATGATTTTACTTATGATGATGAGTAACGGACTGTATTTTGGTTTTGATGTTCATTGTAGAAATGTTTATTATACACGTTACTGACCGTGTCAGGGCGGTTGGTGATAAGAATTTGCTACCTGAGGTAGGAGGGGGTATAGCAGAAATCTTTTGAAAACAGCACGTGAGTCATCGGAAGCTGCGTGGAGAAAATCGACCAGTGCTGTCGATATTTTTGTTTTTTTAGGGGTCAATGAAAAATATTGTTGCGGACGGAAATGTTGAAAATTGTAAAAAAAATATTCCAATAATTATTTACTTCACCTGCAAAACGAACTATAGTTCTGAAAAGAACTGAGTTTATAAACCGGTAATATAGAATAATAATAATAGTAAAACAGCTGATTGTGACAGCTGAGAGCACCCCTCAAATTTGAAAGTGGACTCGTCTGCGCAACTTCATTGGTGTGTATTGTTTTCAAAAGATTTCAACTCTACAACCCCGATTCTTAGTACTCAACAATCTTGTAAATACAAAACACTTAGATTTTTTTTCTTGGCCAAATATTTAGTTGTCAATTAATTCAATAATTTTCTTAATCCTGCTCGTTTCTTAAATTGTTTTTTTTTCCAAAAATATTTAAATTTAATAAAAATATAATCCTAAACTAACGTTTCATTTAAATAAAATCTTAATGAAAAACTAAAATCGAAATTATGTTTAGGGAGTAAAAATACCATTTTAATGTCAGAATGTCTCTACACGCTTAATTTTTTTTTTTTCGATAATAAATTCATGTATTAATTGCATATTGTAGAAAGTGAATACGTACATAAAAAAATAGTAAGTAATCTCACAGTTTGAAATTAATCTGTGCCACTAAAACACCACAACAGAACATAAAACCGATGGAAGTAGTGAACAATTAATTAATATTCCACAACCATTATTTCCCATTTATTAACATACCGCGACATGCGCTGTAACTAAACTGATACTTATCGCAAGAAGATTTTGAACTTTTAACATCATGCACCGTAATATTCGCGCCTGAACATCACTCTAACGGTCCCCGCTAAGAAAAACCGACTTAATCTATAACATTAACATCTTCGACTTTCGCAAAAAAGCCGTTAGTTATTGTGATTTTTGCCTCTACCTAAGTCAAACGACCACGAGTCGCGGAAGATCCTCACCTTTGCTTCAGCTCCGAGGGGCTAAGCTCCTTGATGGGCGCTAACGGCGGCATCTCTCCTTCGCTTGAATCGCTGCTGTAATCGGCGTTTCCGTTTGTCCGCGGCTTATCTATACTGCCATTAATGAGCACGTCAGGGCTTTCGACGTAACTTCTAGGTTCAGTGCGGGGGCGAAGCACTCTCCTGGAGTAGACCATCGACTGGGCGCTGTTCGTTGAGACGATGCCCATCGGCTGGTGTTGGGGAGGAAGGTGCGGCGACTGATGGGCTGGTGAAGCTGATCGGTTTGAACTGCCAACAAGGAAAAACTAAAATTACCACTGTTCTGCACAGACCTATAAGAAGCGGTAGAGATAACGAAACCCCGTATAACCGTAGATGATAATTATGATTATAATAATTTTTACTATCAACGTTTCTTCCAAAATTCGATTTCATTCGATTAGTTTGAATATAATGAATTATCAACATCAAAATGGTCTATTTGAAAATACTCATGCCCTTTTGAAAATACTCATACGAGTTAATGAAAATAAATCGTTTCAAATGTAAACGCAAACTAATTTACAACCTAATTCTATCACATTTGTGAACCACGGTACTATGACAATAATTTCCACGGCTTCAAAGTTGTCAAAAATAAAATAAAAAAAATATGTAATTCTTTTTTGTGTTAATAATAATGTTCGTTTTTCTGTTTGTAAATTTATAATTCTGTTCTTTTTGGTTTGTATTATAATATCATCTTGTTATTTTATATTTCTTAAATTATTTAATTCACAATTCAAGTTGTCCAAGAAAAAAACATTACGCGATGTGGGGTGAAATCGTCGACAATAATTGACAAATGTATTACATTTTTACATACATAGATGATCGTAGATAAAGTATACTATTACACTCGCATATTATGGTTCTTATCCATTCGGATAATTTATACCATTCGCTAGCAAGTTCGCTCGTGCATAAATATTATCCTTACACGATATTGCAAACATACATATAAAATCTGACAACAATCGGTAATACGTTTCAGGAACAACTTTGCAAAATGATAAACTTCAAAAGGTGCCACTTTTATGTTTTCTCGACGTTTCATGATCCTACAGTACGAAAAAAGTCGTCTCCCGTTTCCGTTCTTCTGTTTGTCTGTATCCATTTTTATTAGTGCTAATATAAATAACAAGATAGATGAGCAAAACCGACAGTACAGTAGAGAACAAAAATTAGTAAACATTGACTTTCTGTTTCCAAGAATGTTTATTGCAACCCCTCAATAAACGGCTTAAGAGTATGGTAAGGATAATTTACAGCCCGGATCCTCTCTGGGATTGCTTACCTGAAAGAAACAAAAGTTGATGAATGTAAAACGTGCATGAGCACATTTTTGCCGGCAAACCTTGTAAATTATCGGTATTACAGCAGCAATTTATTAGAAACACTTTTGGAAACAAAAAGTCAATGTTCACTAATTCCTGGTGTCTATTGCAGTGTAAATAATGACAACATTTTATAGGTTGGTTGTTGCGATTTGGACGTGACTACGCTAATCTCTCTTCGTCTTAAAGGCTTTTATCAACGGGATAAGCGCCCACGGCAATTCTACCCACTGTACTTCTTTACCTGCGAGGACTCGAAAAATTTGTAAACTTCGTTAACCACGATGGACACAAGTACAGCGGGACTAAACAATAAAACCTCCTAAGGGCATCCGAAGTGAAGTCACCTTCAAATATTAGTAGCCAAACTTAACTATGTATTAGTGAACTCGAAAAATTTACAGCATCAAGATATTTGTCTGACGTGACACAATAATATTCATTAAATAAATATAAAGTGTGGCAATTTATATTCATAAATTTAAAAGGTAGAAGACTTATCCTGAGCATACATTAATTTCCGCACGTGTGCCGACCAATCACAACAAAACACATCAAACTGACGCCAAATTCAAATATTATTCATCGTGTGTATTCAAGTGTTCATTTCCAATATCATAGATAGAACTAGGGAAAACCATACGATTTGTTCTTATATTTATTATTGTGTGGGAGGATTTTTTTTTAATCGGCACCGATTTGTTAATTTTACAGATTCTTCAATTTTCGAGTTTACGATTTTTCAATTATTCCATTTTTTGCTTCGTTAGTTCTCCGATTTTACAATTTTTTGAGTTTCAAGCTTTTAGTTTTTTAATTTTTCAATTTCGTGTTTTTTATTTTTCAGCAAAAGAACAAATTTATCCAAACTAAAATACTGGAAAGGAAATAATAAAAAATCCCGAAATTGAAAGATTAAAAAATCGAAAAGCAAAACAATTTAGCAAATTTTTCAATTTTAAAGTTTTCAAGTTCTTGGTTTGCAATTTTAATCAAAATAAAATTTTGCAAAATCGAATAACTGTAACACCGAAACATAAAAAAATGCAACAATTAAAAATCGAGAAAATGAAAAATCGACAAAACGCAACAATTCTGCACTTTTTCGATATTATATTTTTCAAATTCTCGATTTTTTATTTTTAATTGCTCAACAAAAGGACAAATTTATTCAAACTGAACTTTTGAAAAACCGAAAAACTGTAACACTGAAACAACATCAAAAAACAAAATATGTAAAAATCGAGAAATTGAAAAAATCTACAAAAAGAAACAATTTTGCAGTTTTTCGATGTAAAATTTTTTAAATTCTCAATTTTAAATTCTTAATTTTCTCGATTTTTCATTTTTTAGTTGTTCAACAAAAGGACAAATTTATTCAAACCGAAATTTTGAAAAATTTAAAAATCAGAAAATTGTAAAATTGGAACGTCTAAAAGTTACAAAATTAAAAAACCAAAAAATTTAAAAATTGAGAAGTCGAAGAATTGAAAAAACGGATTTGAAAAATGAAACTTGAAATATCGAAAAATTTTAAAATTGAAAATTCGAAAAATGAAAAAATGAGAAATTAAACAAGTGGATAATTGAAAAAACAATTGAAAAATCAAAAAATTGTAATATAGAAACCTGAAAACCCTGATTAATAAAAAATCGAGAAATTGAAACATTGAAAAAACGAAAAACATAAATGTCTATAAATTAAATATGTAATCAAAAATACAAAAATTTTTAATTTCAAAATCCAGAGATTTTAAAATCAAAACTTGAAATATCGAAAAATTGAAAAATCGAAAAATTGTAATATTGAAACCTCAAAACCCTGATTAATTAAAAAATCGACAATACGAAGCAATTTGCAATTTTTCGATATACAATTTTTCAAATTCTCGATTTTTAATTTTTCATTTTTTAATTGTTCAACAAAAGACAAATTTATTCAAACTGAACTTTTGAAAAATCGGAAAATTGTAACACTGAAACATCAAAAAACAACAGAATTGAAAATCGAGAAATTGAAAAATCGACAAAAGGCAACAATTCTGCAATTTTTCGATATAAAATTTTTCAAATTCTTGATTTTTAAATTTTTAATTCAACAAAGGACAAATTTGTTCAAACTGAACTTTTGAAAAAACGAAAAATTGTAACACTGAAATTTTTCACTTTAATTGTTCAACAAAAGGACAAATTTATTCAAACCGAAATGTTGAAAAATTTAAAAATCAGAAAATTGTAATATTGAAACGTCTAAAAATTATAAAATTAAAAAATCAAAAAATTTAAAAATTGAGACGTCGAAAAATTGAAAAATCGAAAAATGAAAAAATGAGAAATTAAACAATTGGATAATTGAAATAACAATTGAAAAATCAAAAAATTGTAATATAGAAACCTGAAAACCCGGATTAATAAAAAATCAAGAAATTGAAAAATTGAAAATCGAAAAACAAAAATTTCTATAAATTAAATAATCAAAAATACAAAAATTTTTAATTTCCAAATTCAATGATTTTAAAATCAAAACTTGAAATACCGAAAAATTGTAATATTGAAACCTCAAAACCCTGATTAATTAAAAATCGAGAAATTGAAACAGTGACAAAACGCAGCAATTCTGCAATTTTTCGATATAAAATTTTTCAAATTCTCGATTTTTCAATTTTTAATTATTCAACAAAGGACAAATTTGTTCAAACTGAACTTGTGAAAAAACGAAAAATTGTAACACTGAAACATCAAAAAAACAAAATAATTAAAAATCGAGAAATAAAAAAATCTACAAAAAGAAACAATTTTGCAGTTTTTTGATATAAAATTTTTTAAATTCTTAATTTTTTATTTTTTATTTTCTCGATTTTCATTTTTTAATTGTTCAACAAAAGGACAAATTTATTCAAACCGAAATTTTGAAAAAATTAAAAATCAGAAAATTGTAACATTGAAACGTCTAAAAATTATAAAATCAAAAAATTGAGAAGTCGAAGAATTGAAAAAACAAAGAAAAATTGAAAAAACCGATTTGAAAAATGAAACTTGAAATATCGAAAAATGAAAAAATGAGAAATTAAACAAGTGAAAAACAATTGAAAAATCAAAAAATTGTAATATAGAAACCTGAAAACCCTGATTAATAAAAAATCGAGAAATTGAAAAATTGAAAAAACGAAAAACAAACATTTCAATAAATTAAATAATCAAAAATACAAAAAATTTTAATTGCAAAATCCAAAGATCTTAAAATCAAAACTTGAAATATCGAAAAATGAAAAAACTAAGAAATTGAATTGAAAAATCGAAAAATTGTAATATTGAAACCTCAAAAAACCCTGATTAATTAAAAATCGAGAATTGAAAACTCGACAAAACGCAACAATTCTGCAATTTTTCGATATAAAATTTTTCAAATTCTCAATTTTTATTTCCTTATTATCTCAATTTGTCATTTTTTAATTGTTCAAAAGGACAAATTCATTCAAACCGAAATTTTGAATTGAATTGAAAAATCAAAAAATTGAGAAATCGAAGAATTGAAAAAATAAAGAAAACTTGAAAAAAACTGAAAAATGAAACTTCAAACATCGAAAATTTGAAAAAACGAAAAACAAAAACTTCTATAAATTAAACAATGAAAAATACAAAAAAAATAATTTCAAAATTCAAAAATTTTAAAATGAAAACCGGAAAACTAAAAAATTCAGAAATTGTAAAAACGAAACATGGAAAAATTAAAAATTTGTAACATCGAAAAAACGAAACACTAAAAAACCGAAAAGAAAATGGAAAAGCCAAAAATTGAATAATAAAAACCCTAATAATTATTTGAAAAAAGTGAAAAATTAAAAATCGACAAATTTAAAAATGAAGCAATTACAAAATTGTAATTAAAAAAATAAATAAAAATGGAAAAAT